GCCAAATTCACCCAATATCTTAGCTATAACTCAGTTGATTTCAGTAGATTAACCCTTGCCTATCTTACAGCCGAAGTTAGGTCCTTTGAGGCATACACCAGGTGTGTACACTGATCTACAAGTCAAAAGAAAGAGGTCTTAGAAATCAAAAAAATACAAACTGATGTTATCTCCAGTTTCTGGATTGATCAATAAAACAGAGCAGCATTAGAGAAGTGGTTACACAGTTTTGGTCTGTTGACTGTGGCCAACCCTCAGCATTAATCATGGGCCAGCAGGCACCTGCCATTCAGCTTCACATTGCAAATGCACTAAGGGCAGGTTGGTTCTGCAGTGGCATTGCGATGTCCTCCTTTTGCGATGGCATCTGCAGGCTGCCCCTTGGCAACCAGTGCCCCGTTGAAGGAGCCACATACTTCTTTATCCTGAAATACAGCATATCCCTCCTTGGTGCCGGGACACATGACACCTTGGCTAAGTCTCTAGCCATCAGGACAGGAGCACATCTGGGTTCACTGGCTGTGCACCTCCTTAGCTGCAGTTTGTTCTTTCAATGAGTCCTACCTGGGTCACTTGTACTTAGTGCTCCTTCCAGCTGTGCCGGGGGAGCCGGCTCAGGTGGGTAAGCTGCCCAGGGTCACATTTCTTTTCCAGCTGGTGTTTGTGGAGATTGAGGTGCTTTCCCGGCAGTTCTTTTGCTTGAGCTCTGCTTGACTTGGGGCCCATCCTACCTCTATGATGGATTTTATTTTCTAAATAATGTGTTCCAGTTCAGTCAGAAGTCATGGCTGTCATGCAGAAATCTCGTCACAAAATTCTTTGGCCTTTTGCAAATATTAGACTACATTATATAATAGTTATTCTAGTTTCATAATCTATGAATGTGTGCATGCATACATCATTGTGCTTCTTGAGAAGTTAGTGGAAGCTGCTTTTTTTTTCTGTTATATCTTCCGTTTGTAATTGGATCTTGTGCTTAATTGTTACTGACTTAATACTAATGACAAGCAAAATATATTTGATGGAAGGTAAAGCCCAGAAAAAGAAACTGAGAATAAGGCAATTTGGGATGCTTGCAAACAGATTTTTTTTTTAAAGTTATTCTTATTATTAGGTTAGTTTGCCCTATTCTTAGTTTACATCCACCTGCCTGAGTCAGAACAACTGTGGGAGAACAGGCTAGATTTTCTTTTGATACATGCATTAATATTGGAACTGTTTGTGAAAAGTTTACCTGGAGGCACCTACCAGTAACATTCAATTACAATTTAATTGCTTATAAATTTACCTTTATAGGTCAAGGTTACTAAAGGTAATACGTGAGACAACATGATTTTCATTTTTCACAATGTTCACTCCCTGAACCTCTAAGAGACAACCTTGGTAGTCCCTAACATAGTCTTTCCACTTGCAAAGTGCATTCATACTTCAGAAACTCAGCATGTATTTTTAGTTCCCTTTCAAGAGTTTTGATAGTGTTTTTCTCTTAAATGTTCCTTAAAACTGATGTCAGTGTTTCCTGCTCTGTAATTATTGTTTGTTAACATCAGGAGCAGGTTCCCAAAATAATTTTTCTTCATATGAGTAGATCTTACCCATGTGATTTGTTCCAGTGAAATCAGTTATCTGTTTTAAATACTGCCTCTGAGATAAAAGGAGATTACAGCATCAGACCTCCCACAGAATTTGCCTGCCGGCTTAATTGTTTTATAAGCACAGCCCCAGCCTGCTTTACCAAGTTTTGCCTCGGTAGCTGTGCTGGTTCAAGATATGAAATTTTCTTGGACCTTTGTTGATGGCAAAATCTTACATGACAATACAACTATTCCCTCTACCAAGAGAACAATGTTTTTGTCTATGTCATGTGGTGAAGGACATGATGTAGTTGCACAAATATAAAAAAAACTATAGAAAAGTAGCTCCTTCTGTTAGCACATGTTGCATGCAATTACCCTGCAAGCAGAGTTATAATGGCAAATGCATGATGGCATAGATGGGTCTACATTTGCCCATTTTCAAAAATATTTCTGTCATTCTTGCTGTTGTATAAAGAAAAAACCCAAATAATAAAAAAAAAAACCAACCCAGAAAACAAACAGTAACACAACTAATTATTTCCTATTACAGGCTGTAAACAAAAGAGAGCATGTGGAGGTGCTCATGCTTTTGACCTGTTGTTTCAGTGGTATGACTCCTGTTCCTCTGCCAATCACTGACCACTTTCCTTTTAATCCATCAGAAACATAAGCTATGAATGTTTGTCTGGTGGTTAGCAGCTGAGTTAAATGGCTACAGTAGCCTAAGAGAGTATGAAGAATGATAATAAAAATGCAGCATCAAGATACACCTGAAAAGAAGCTGCTTCTAGCTGTCATGTAGGGTTTCTTCATGATCTCGGCCACAGAACCAGCTCAGGGCTGCCTGCCACACTGTACTTTCCTGTCTGGGCTACTGTCACATTAAATATAGTTGTGGGTTACTAAGATGTTACTGGGTGCAAACGGAGCTGTGAGGCATTTGCTAAGAAGCCCTCCCTTTACCAACCTTCCATCTTTTAATTTCCTGAAGTTTATTGAGCATCACTCAGTTATTTTGCAAATTTGTGAGAATGCAAGTAAGACACTGTTTAAACTTGTCATAGAATAAGTCGCTTCTGATATGTTGGAGTTATTGGATATGTTTTCACATGCATTCATTTTTTAGGAAGTGAATTTAATTATAATTGACTGCAGCATCTTCATTCACAGGGAATAAAACTTGCATTGTAAGAGTTTTTAACATCTTCTGAAGTAAATATCACTAATGAGTCCTAATATTACAATGACTTCTCCATTTATGACATGTAATAGGCTTTCTCTAGACACCACATATTAATAATACAGTAACGATGTGGCATTGGACAGCTTAAATGAAAGTAAGGTCTCCCTGCTGGCACCAGGTGCTTATGTCATCAAAGATAACTGCAAAGTGTGAGCACCATGTGAATAATTTTCTGTTCCTATGTATTAAAGCTCTAGAAATTGGAAGACTTATCAGTTCGAACACTGTATAAACCACCTTGCAGTTAACAGGGAATGGCAACAAAAATAATCACAGTTGTGAACCAGCTTCCATACAAAAAACAAATGAATGGGGTAAAGCTCTTCAGCCTGGAAAACGTGACTGAGGGGAGAAAAGAGAGAGAGGCAGGGAACAGGTGACTATGGATGAATTTGCTGACGCTTCCAGTACAAGAATATAAAATAATACAAGGAGGAGGCAGGTGCTGAACAAACAGAGATAATTCATCACTGAACTCATGCTTAGGCTATAGAGCACCCTGCTACAGGATGATGCAGATCTCAGAAGCTTACCTTCGTCCAAAATATGAGGCTGACTTGACTTGCTTGAGTAATTGCAAAAAGTAAATGCCTAGAAAATAATGAGGGCACAGTTGAAGGGAAAAATCGGTCAGTGGAAGACAGAAGTGCATTTGCACGAAGTCTTTGTCTAACCATCTAATTATTGGCAAAACTGTAGCAAACTTCTAAAAGTACTTTAATGGATTAACCAAAATGAAAAAGCTGCTGTATAAACTACTTGCTCTCTTCTCCCAATTCTAGTTATTACTGACAAGAAACTGGAAAGAATACAAGTAATTATATACAAACTGGAAGAGGTTTGATAAATTATTTCTGTTTTTTAATAATTTCTTGAAATATTTTATCTTATGCTGTTATATACAAACCAAATGGTGTCATCTTATTTTACTCATAAGATGTTTTTGTTAAACTCAGCAATGTTTTTTTTCTAGACTAGATAAAATGAAATAATATTGGATACTAATTGGGAAGCTATTGCTGTATTTTGCTTGATCTGTCAGCACAGAGTATTCATGCATTTCTCTATGTGGCTTCTCTTTGATAGAATATTGATGATTTTAATCTATTATATTTAATGTATTTTCATATCCAGTGACTGAGAGATCACAGAGTAATGGGAATATTGACAAGTCTGGTTCTAAGCCCTTGGCCGTAAAGCGAGCTTTAATGATGAGCGTTTACAAAAAGCTGGACCGATGGGAAGCTAATAGAGGTGGCTTTCCATTGAGCTGAGACCAAAAGAAAAATCTTGGTGTTGCAAAGGCGGATAAAAAGCGCCACTGTGTTTGCCTAGGGGGAAAAAAATCATCTTGCCGCAAACCGGGCCTATTTTCTTCAAATAATCTCCAAGGAAACAGCCTCTGCCAAGCTAGGATCTGATTACCAGTTGCAGGCCTCAGACCATAGCCATTATTGTTTTAACATCTTTGCCTTCCTCTTTATCCCGGTGGGAAGCAGGCTGTATGGGCTGCCACGTAACTTGACCTTGCTTGTAGATAAAAAGACAGGTTAGCACACAGCAATCGCAAAGCCAGAAGCAAAAAGACAGTATTTAGAAAATAAAGGAAGAAGCTGGCATGGTATGATTATGTGTAATGTTCTATGCTGTGAGGCGTGGGCGGCCTGATGAACAGTGCCCATCCACGAAACCCAGACAGAAACTTGGACTTGGTCATAGTTTCTCCATTTTTAACATTGTCTGGGCAGAGAAGCTGTGATTTTCGTCACTAAGATGTTAACGTTATCTCAGATGATTTCCTGCAACCTTGGAGATTAAGAAAAAGAGGAGAGAAAAATGGAAGGAGAAAAAAAATCTACATAAAATTTTAGTGCTTTTGGTAAACAAAATGAATAGTAAATCAGCAGAAAGAGTGGGATATGAACCTTAGAGCTCACTTTAAGTCTTTGCTGCTCTTTTACTACTGTCCTCTGAGCTTTCCATGCAACAAGCTAGTGAGCCCAGAGGTCAGCAGCAATTAGGCATGACATGTCTTAAAGTGTCTCAGGGGTGCCAAAGAAAATAAATGCTCAGTAATTAAGCATTCAGCATCAAAAGCTGAAAAAAGGTGTAAAGGGGAAAAGAGATTCTGCTACGATCAACCATAGGTGCTCAAACTGGTGCAACTGTGCATCGCATAAATGGTCACTGTCAAAACTAAACCAAGCCACAGCTTCAAGGCCACGAAGTCCCAGCTAAATCACAGTGCATGCAAAGTAAGTGATATATTCACCTTTCCTATCAGGACAGGCTGAGAGAGTTGGGGTTGTTCAGCCTGGAGAAGAGAAGGCTCCGGGGAGACCTTATTGCAGCCTTCCAGTACCTAAAGGGGGCCTACAGGAGAGCTGGGGAAGGACTTTTTACTAGGGCTTGTAGTGATAGGACAAGGGGTAATGGCTTTAAACTGGAAGGGGGTTAGATATAGATTAGATATCAGGAAGAAATTTTTCACTTTGAGGGTGGTAAGTCACTGGAACAGGTTTCCCAGAGAAGTTGCGGATGCCCCATCCCTGGAGGTGTTCAAGGCCAGGTTGGATGGGGCTTTGAGCAACCTGGTCTAGTGGGAGTTGTCCCTGCCCATGGCAGGGGGGTTGGAACTCTATGATCTTCAAGGTCCCTTCCAACCTGAACCATTCTATGATTCTAAAACTCAGCTCATGGTATTTTGCTGTTTCTATGATTTCATGAAGATTTCAAGCCAAGAGCACTAGAAGCATGTTTTTTTCATATCAGACCATATGGCAGATAATAAATATCTGAGATTCTGATTGCTGATAACTTCCTACATAGGCATGGGTAGAAAATGTAATTTCTGTAATCAGATTTCCTGGTGGATAATGCCACATCATTCTTCATACGTCCTCACTCTCTCTTGTATACCTTTAGGTTATAAGCACTTCAGAGCAAGTACCCTTGTGGTGCTCTGACCACAGTTAGAGCATTTTAGTACTACTACAGTATGTGTCAGACCAAAGAAAGGAGCTGCAGCTCAGTTAGCTCTAGTTAGGTGGGACTTCTGGTTGCAGTATTGGCTTTATTTTGAATGGCTGCTCAAAATTATACGTGGTTCCAATTAAAAACACAACAAAATAACCTGTAGTCCCAGTCATCTGTACTGATGTCTTGTCGGGGGGGGAACTGGTGCTTGTGAGGAAGCGGCCCATTTGCAGCTTTCTAAATCCCAGTTAGTTTTCCCAGCTATTATTTACACATAGCAAAATACATTTTGCATCGTAGGCCTTTGGACTCATTGTGACCAAACCAAGGATTAAGGTGCTTGGGCCATCAACCTGACTTCGACCTCGGCAAATGGAAAAATTATTTATCTGCACCAACTTCAGAAATGCTTGAGCTTCTCAACAAAGACAAAGAATTAAGTTGCGTGATGTGTTTGGAAAGTTTTATTTTCCTTATCATTTTACCTTGTGTGAATCGTGTATGCTCAGGGGTGACCAAAAAGCAAAAATCACCAGGGAACAAACCGGCATTAAGCCTGGTTACAGCATCTCGCCACAGTTAAACGGTTATTTTTTACCTACTTGATGGATGAAACAAATTTACTTTCTTTGTTGTTTTTTCCCCTTCCAGACTCTGACGGCACCTGCTCCATTTGCAGACGAAACAAGCTGTCAGTGCCAAGCCCCACATGAGAAGCTAACGATTGCACAAGCCCGCCTGGGAACACCCGGTATGTATAGAGAGCAACATCAGCGGGACCCAAAGCACAGGCTCTCCCTTACAAACGTCTGTCTGTGCTCACTTGTGCCTTCTGATTAGAAGCAGAAAGGCCAACCTGGTATCTGGTGCTATCAGGTAATAGGGAAGAAGCCGGTGACAAGGGGACCATTATCTTTGCTAGAGAAAGAACGAGAGAAAACATTTCAACTTAGAGTTTGATGTTTTCCTGGATGTCTGCATGTTGGTTGGAAGGAAAGCTTGCCAGCCCACCCCGGAGAGCCTTGAAGTTGTGTTGTGCAGTGGCTACCTCCTGGATTCTCTTCCTGTACTGTCTCTGTATGCTGTAAAACCTCTTTTTTCACTGATACTCTTTTTGATCACATCAGACTTTAAGTGGCCTTAAAGGCCATTTACCCTTTGAAAAGAAACCATGCCAAATTTTGGAACTCTTTATCTTGACAGTTTTTCCAGACCTACCTTTGTGATTGGGCTGGGGAAACAGGATGATTTCACATAAAGTCCCAAATAGATACTTCATCCCTCCCTAAATTCCATGAGATTCTTTTAAAAAAGTCTTCATATACTTATTTTACGTATTTGAAATAAACTTTTAAAGTATGTACACTGTATAGAGGTAAGCCTCAGCTTTCCACTCATCTCTGCAAGGAAGAATGTTGTCCCCATATTTCTATGGACACCTAATGTCCTGACAGCAGAGATACCTCTTTGTAGCACTGAAGCACAATCCATGGAGTTTGGAGCTCTGTTGCTGTCATTTCTGCTGTCCTTTTGCTTGGAGGTGACTTCTCTGTGGCACAGCTGCCAGGCTTGTCACTTGGTAAAGCAAGTCCTTTTTCTATCGGGAGACTGCTGCTGAAGATGTCGTACAGAAAGCAAGAGTTATAAGGGTGATAGCATGAGGATGGTGAGAAAAAGAAATGATCAGCTCATTAGAGAGAAGAGCTTGGGGGAAGGATAGAAAAAGGGAAGTGAACGGTTTATGTGGCAGAGATAAGCAATACATTTTTACAGCGGTAAGCTGTGGAAAAAAGAAAGTCACAGACAAGAGGGGAAGGAAAGGGAGATGGTAGGAAAAAATTAGGGAAAATTGAAAAAATCCAGAAGGCAGAACTGCCTAGAAAGGCAGACAAAAAAGAACAAGACATATGGTGGAACTCTGAATGAGGCAGGAAGATGACATTTTTGCTAAATTAGAATATGGGGATGATGGATGATAATAAATAGGCAAAGTCTGAGAGAAAACAGCAGAGAGTACAGAGAAGAACAAGTAATGAGCAGGATAAAACACTGTGAGTTCACCCACGGTGCATTTTGAACATGGGTATTGGGGTAAATCTCCGCAATCAGCTGATCAGGGAGTGAAAACCTGTCCAGTAAGAATTAAGTGCAACTTGTTTCGGGTCTGAAAAATCACTGTTGTGTTTCTTTCTCCACAGTTGACAGACCTGTCAGAGTGTATGCAGACGGGATATTTGACCTCTTCCACTCTGGCCATGCTAGAGCTCTTATGCAAGCCAAAACCCTCTTCCCAAATAGCTACTTATTAGTAGGAGGTAAGATCAGAGTTATTTATTGCACTGGATTTTTCCTTCTGTGCTTCAGTATCAGAGTTATTGCTGTGCTTGCACCCCCAGCTGTTTATACACTATGACTTTGAATGCTACTTTCACTCTGGGGGCTTTCTATAGGTGATTTGCCTTGAATTACGTCTTACAATTGCATCAATTAAAGTAAAAGTCAAATTCTGCCCTCAGCAGCACAGGCACAATTCCCATTATAGTTAAAGCAGGTGCCTGCATGACTCTAAGCTTAGAATAGCTCCATATGAATAATTTACCTTTTCCAGTTATTCACTCAAAATTGTTCAAAGATGGAGATGAGTGAATGAGATCAACCACTCATTTATTTCTGGCTCCTTGGTCCCTTCGCCAGCCAGGCGCAGCCCACGTCCCCTGGCTGCCAGGTCAGTACTGTGTGTGCAGACCCAGCCTTCAACATCAGCAGAGAAGCTAAATCCAGCCTGTTATCATTGGAGACCCAAATGTAGGTCATGATTTGAAGGTAGTTTTCAGCTCACAAGTGTCCCCAGGCAGGTTACTTTCTTATCATTTTTTTTTTTTCTGTGAATATCTTCTTTCTTTCTTTCTTTCTTTTTTTTTTTGTTTGCTGTGTGGCTGGCTAACAGCTGTTCAGCAGTTGGTACGTGCCTGAGTAATCACCGGAGGGTGGCTGTGTCCTGCCTAGCTGGCTGTGCAAGCCCTGCTCTCACGAGGCCTCATAAACATGCATTTTGGTTCCAGTTTCCCTGCACCTTTGGGGCTGAGATATGCCTCACATACATAAACGTTTCACAGCAGCATTCAGCTGCTCAAATGGTTACAGCAGTGATGATAAAGCAAACGTGAATGCAATCTTCAGACACTTTATAAGATGTGTTATTTTGCATCTTTATCTCAAATCAGTTGAAAGGGGGGGAAAAAGACCCAATAAGAGGAAAGGCAAAATCTCCTTGTAAACGCACTTTTTTATTTTACTATTAAGTTTATGAATTGTGGCAAATTCCATGGAGCTTCCTGGGAGGGAAAGGAGAGATCCCTTTGTTATGAAGGCAACATTTAGGGCTCTCTTGTTTTCCTGCTGGGCCAGATAGCTTGCAGAAGAAGCTAGTGGAAGTGCAAGACTGTGAGGTTTTAAAAAAATGGAAGTTATGTAGGTTTTGTTGTTCCTTTTAAAGGAGTGGGGGGTGTCCCAGGTCAGGGAAGGAGGTCTGGGGCAAAAGCCTGACTTCTTTGAAATTCATGGCATAGCTTTGATTTGCCCTTATTTTTGGAGTGAAGGACAAAGCAGCCAGCACTCATCAGCACCTCTTCCCAGCAAGACATTCCGCATCTTAGCATGTTTAAAAAAATGGGCACCTTTCCACACCCACATACAATTTGTGCTGCAAAAGCACTGGTGTCACGTGTCTTTGTGGGCGCCACAACCAACCCCTTTTATTTCTCATTGTGAAGACAGTTATTTGGAGCTAAGAAATATTTTTTAATAGATATGTGTACCTTCCCAAATCAGTCATTAGAGCAGGATGACAGAATCAAAAGGAAATACAGAGATACTGTGTCTGCACTACACATGAAAAAACAGTATTCAAGAAATGAAATCAAATCTTTCTACAGAATTCAAGCAAAAATTACTATTTTCCAATAATTGCAGTAGACCCTTCCTTCCAGGAGAGAGTAGCTGTAAGATGACATAAAGACTGTAAATAAATATAAATACAATCTCTGAAGGGATCTTTCTACTGAAAATGATTTGATCTTCATTAAATTTCTTATCAGCAGGCATCAAAAAATGACATAATAGGATAGATTAGCAGTTTGCTACCTGAAATTCATATGTATATTATTATCTGGCTTTAAATTTTGCACAAACTCCAGGGCTATCTAAGCGTTCCTACATTTTTTGTGTTTTAAAGGTCCTTAACGACCATCACAGCAAGACATTCCATTTTAGATCTCAAGGAAGACCATATCTTTGCCAGCGCCTTGCTTGATAGGTTGATGTTTTCAAATTAGAAAAAAGCAGCAGCTGTAGGGCTACTTTCACACTTCCCTGCAGCACTAATAACGTTGATTTATCATTTGTCAAGTACATTTACTATTTGTCCTGGTGTCACAGACCAGTGAGATCAGAAGGCACAGGTTTGACCTGTGGTGAAGGACAACCACTGTCAACCCAGCTATAAATGGGTATCGCATTATTCCATGTGGGGCATCAAATGACTATCATAGCTGTAATGTTGGACAGAGTTACAGTTGTGGGGACAGGCCACTGTGTTTTACACAACTTTTTGTGTGTAGAAAGATAATGCCTAACTTTTATAGTCCTCCGGTAACATGGGTATTACTTCTGCTCATTTTGAAAGCAATGTGACAAAGTATTGGTACGTCCAGAGTTAAAGATGCAGGATTTCTGGACTTGCTCATTCCACGGCTTCTCCCAGTCCTTTCCATGGGGCTTCCTTCTGCGATTTCCCATTTGAACATGGCACAAGCCTTATTTCTCTTCCTATGAAACCTGCTG